ACTATGAGGCCTGTCAAGTGTCAACTGAACAATCCTTTGGAATGCTGAGCAATCCAAATCCCACCCTTCTCTCATTATTCACAACAAGTCACCAGTTAAGAACTTCTTCATTTCACAGAAGTAAAGCCTAGAGTAAAGATCTGATACGAACTTTATTACAATCCTCGGATGCACACAAACCAATCTCTCTTCTCCAATGAATTTGCACACAGAACAAGCGGCTACACTAGATTGAGAATAACAAGCTAAAAGTTAAGATTAAGACTAACTCCAGCGGATTAATGTGACTTACGAAAAATGAAATCAGTAAAACGGTTAAAAGAGCTAAAGAACAACAAATCGATCAAAATCTCATCATCAACAGACAAAACCTAGCTATGGAACGAGCTGGCAGAAGAGCGAAAGCTGCCTGTACAATAGAGAGATGAATATCAGTGATCAAGGTCGGGCAGAAGAGGAAAGAGCGCGAGGAAGAGCGCGAGAAAGAGCGAGATGAATATCATATAATAAAGCCCTTAAAATCCCTAGTCGTCAGTCCCTAAAACCCATAGCATTCAAACCCTAAAATCTAACATGATTTTCCCTTCCCAGAACCCTGCAAATCGAATGAGATAAGAGAGGAAGAGAAGATTCTCTCCATTCCATATGGAAGGAAGATGACAACAGTCACCGAAAACAAAAACTCTCACAATCGAAAGACCCAACAAACGGCAACGAAGATGAAACTGCTCAAAATGGGACAGGGAGAGGAAGGGGCATATGCAAACGGATATTCGCTCCATTGTAGATGGAAGGACGACGCCGACCCATTCCAGTAGTCGAAGATGAAGATCGAAAACGATTGGCCTAATTTTGATGCAACACGAACTGGCATGCAATTGGGAGAACAAAAAAATCAAGCTATGGAACAGAGGGATACTTCGTCGGAAGCTGAACTGATGAGTGTGGGAAATCGACGGCTTGCAGGAGGAGAGGAGCTAGGCCGATTTTGGATTCTGGAACTAGGTTTTTGAATAGGGGGAAAAGGAGCTATGAATTTTGGAGAGTGAAGGACGAGAGGGAAACGAAAACCTCACCCACGCGTTAGATCATCTCAATCTATTTTCCAATGCAGAAAAGGAAAAAATAAAAACAAATTACAATGTGACAAAATGTTAATTTTGTCATATTCCACATAAATATTTCCCTCCCATCTTTCCCGCCAACTGAAATTCCAATCAATGTGACAAACCGTATATAAAGTGACAAACCGTACTGTGACGACTAGTTTTGTCACACTATAGAACCGCGAATCATCCGACCCGAAGTTATTATGAAAAAATAATTGTGACACCATAACTTTTGTCATAACAAATATTTGTTATGACAAATAGTTATGACAAAAATCATATTTGTCACAATATCTGATTATATCATGACGAAATTACTTTTTGTCACATTATATACTCTGTGGTGACAAAGTAACAAATGACAAATTAGAATTTTGTCACCATAGACCATATTTGTTGTAGTTATTGGATCCAATTCATTTGATTTATGAATCCACCAATCTATGAATCAATCCATTTGCCACCTCTATTTGTCACAGCTGCCACCGGTGCTTTGTCGTCCAAAGGCGGAATCCCAATCAGCATCACCACAATAATTACTAGCGTGGGCCCCAGCCAGTTGGTCGAAGGAAGGTGAGGTATGAAATTTTATAATGTAATGGGATGTATAGCTTATTGTTGTTTAGTTTTTTTGGGAAATACGTGATAAAAATAGTGAATTTTAGCAGGAAAGAGACATGAATGATGCAACGAATCAAAAATCGGCCTTATGAACCAAAATCAAGTACATGTTACATTGTGAAACAATATTGTTTCTGGTAATATAATGAGGTGGAGTAAGTTTTATAGAAACCGAATTCCAGAAAATCGAATAAAAAATTGCCTATCGGGAAATGGGCATCTCATAATCGTTGCTAGCTTTTACTCAGCCAGTTGGCCGATTAATTTGCTTTATAAAACTTTCATCTTGTCGTCATTGTGCTTTCTGGTTTTTCTCAGGCCATGATAAAATCTAAGGAAATCAAGAACGAACAACACGATTTGGGATAGGAACCGTCGTTGCCGTATTCCTAGAAAATGGTGGTAAACACGGACTCACCTGCAAACTGGTTTGGATTGAGATTTTTATTGGGTATCAGGAACCATGTGATTATAAATTAGACTTGATCAAAATGGGCCAAAACTTAATTCAACCTGTTTGACCGACCCATGCCAAATTCTAATTATTCTTTACTTTTAAACTTTCTATTTGAAAATAAAAAATAGTGAAAGAAAAGAGATGACTGCAATTCGCCATTTGCACATCACCTATTCGGGAATAAAACCATAGAAATTCAAAAGGAACTGAAAATGTTTAACATCGTTTTAATGTTTAAAATAACCAAATAGATCTTTCTGTTGAGTTTTTTACTAACAAATACCAAACGATTCCCTATAAAATACACTATAGTTTGATCATTATGATATCAAATAATTATATAATATATATTTAAAATGATAAAAATTGGACTAATTGGGTTGGTTGAGGTTGAACCATTGAATAACTTTAAAACACATTATATTTTAGTCACTAAGATATAAAATAATAGCATAATATATGTTATGCCGGAGAATATAGCTTGTTTTAAAATGACAAACCAATGATGTTCATTGTTTTACTTGATGGTCCAATCCCGTGTAGGTCAGACCCATTCAACTATTTTATTTTATGGTTAGCGGTTAGCCCATTAGATACCATGCATTAGTTTATTGTTAAATTTTTTTATTTTTAGCAATAAAAAGGAGTATTGTTTTTGCCTTTTCATATATATTTCATCACCACGGAGAAATAAAAGGGCTTAAAGAAAAAAAATTGACACTCCTGGACCCGTTTAAATCCGCATGTGTACAGTAAGTGGGCCCGTTCCACAGAGTAAAGAGAAAAAAAATTGACATTCCCTATTCTACCCTTCCTACAAACGCTCCTGGAGCAAGGAATTTGAAATGAGGGAAGGGTTTTTTTCTTTCTGCTTGTATGTTTTTAATTTAAAAAGGTACAACAAACGTACTTAGTGTGATTGGTTATGATCAAGGTTGTCACCTTGCGGGTCGACCCGCGGGTCAACCCACTTTGACCCTGACCCGATGAGAAAAACGGGCCGCACTCACCCGCCGGGTCAACTGCTACAAGGTATCGGGTTGGAGTCAAATTAAGTTATTTTTTCTTTGGTTTGCGAAATGCATCTATTTTTCGTTTTTTTTCCGCCTAACTCAATATTTGGAATCCTTAGTTGAACATTTAAATATTGATGTTATATAAGTGTGTGAATTTTCATTATATGTTAGATCTAAGTACGACATGTTATTTTGATGTAATTTTATATGTTATTACTCTTATGTTAGATGAGATTTGATATTATTTATCAGGATAGATACAATATAATGACTCTTTTCATATTTCCGGGCTAAAACGGGTGACCCGTTAACCCTTGGCCCACTAGCTCGACCGGGTCTAGGTCAATCCGCGAGTTGACAACCTTGGTTATGATCCTTACTTTTTTTTTTTAAAATGGTCATGGTTCGAATTCCAGTACGTGTTTTTTTAATGAATAAAAAAAAGTAATTGTGAAGACCAAAATTCTTCTTATTTTCACTCTCGTTGTAGAAAATTTGAAATGAACTCCCGTTTTTCTCTTCCATGTTTATATTTTAATAGATTACCCTAGCTCAAGCAGCTTGACGGAGAATCATAATGGAATTCGATTATGAAGCCAGAAATAGAAGGGTTGGATTTTCTGCTCAAAATCGATGTTGACAGTGCAGCTATGAAGTTCCGCAGTCGGAGAAATCCACCACTGTAGCCGTTGTTGAAGAAGCTGAAATCCTAATCGCCGGTATCTCCATTGCAGATTCCCTCCGTGCAAATTCTCGGATCGAAAAATCTGAAAACCCTAATCGCCGCTATCTCCATCGTAGCCTTCCTCTGTATCCCCAACCGCTTCCTTATGTCCAACCATCTCAGCCGGCGTAGATAATATTGGGCCAGCGGCGGATCTCTAGAGTCATCGCCGACAAAGACGATGGGATTTAAAGAGGATAAAAGCATCCACACTTTCAACTCTATGAACCCAGCGTGAAAGAGGAATAAATGATGACACCTCAAAGATACCGTCGAGTAGTAGCAGAGATTTTTTAATTAAATTTTATAAGAAAATATTTATTTAATTTAAAATATGACGTGACATACATGTGGACATGGCGTGTCTAGTTGGAGATGACGTGTCATCTAGGTGGCATCCACATCAGTATAATGTTTATGTTATTAACGGAGTCACTGACGACGTTAAAGTTTTTAACGGAAATGACTAAATTTGTCAAACTAATTTCAAAAGTATGGTTATTTTAGTGTATTTTTCAAAAAGTGGTTATTATCGTCACAAAGAGCAAACTTATAGCTACCAAGTATATTTTGCCTAATTTTTATAACTATTCGCATTTCACAACAATTTCTCACTTGAATATTATAAAACATTCATCGAGCATCAATAGAAAGGTACTAGATCAAAAATAGAAAGGTAGCATGTCAGATGTTTTCAAAGTGTAATTCTCTACAAGTCCATGCATTTCTGTGCGATTTAGTGAACGCTCTAGGAGTTTTTTTTTTAGATAAGGGTGATACAGGTTACTTTTTTGTTATTAGATACTACTGAAGGGACTCGAACTTGGAGCCTCCAGATTCATGGCTAGTGGTATGACCACTAGACCAATCCCTTGTTCGTGAACGCTCTAGGAATTTTTGCCCTCGAAATTTCATAGAAAGCAGTCTCGCTCTCACATTCAATTGATGAATCTAATAGAAGTATCTTATAGCTTGGTACTCAACAACGCATCGAGTACAGATCTCATTAAGATTTTATATTACCTAAACCTCTTTTGCTATAGAAATTCATGTTTCACTATCCATGATCTATTACCTATTACACACATGTTATTGCCCATTGACGACACTTGAAAATTGTTACTTGTCCAACCTCTTATACCTATTACACACTATTGCCCATTGACTGACACTTGAAAATTGTTACTTGTCCAACCTCCTAGGCTAAATTCCTCTCTAACTATGTATTCTTAGACATTTTACAACAATTACAATTGAAAAGTTGAGTGAAAAGCCTTTTGCTGCACAAGCCAAAACTGAGCTCAAGTGAAGGAAGAACCTGGAAACCAGAGTTTAAGCTATGTAGCAGTAGTAGTACTAACACATTCTCGGCCTACTTGACAAAAGGAATGAAAGAAAAAAAGCAATAAGAACCCACAGAAACAAAACACTGAATGCAGCTAGCTAAGCTTCATACAGTTCTAAAAAGCTAATAAGTTAACAACCGAAATGCTGCTACTTAACACAAACTAATCAACGATTCCTCGAAACAACAAACAACAGAGAGCAGGAGGGAGTAAAACAAACAGATCAAACAACCTCAACTGGCAGCGGCATTGCAGGTGTTAACACCATCTTTGCAGTCATTTGTGAGATCATTGAATGTCTCAATCTGCTTCTTCCCTCTCAAGAACACTTCCGTGTCGACCGAACCCCTCATGTAGCCGTCGAATTCCACCGGAACACCTCGGTTGAGCTTCGTGGTCTCGGAGTACCACTCGCTGTTCTCGTCCCAGAGGTCTTTGTACTCGTCGAGGAAATGAGTTGAGTACTTGTCTTTTAACGGGTCGAAGAAGGAAGTTTCTGGTTCGTTTGTAGCAATGTAAACTTGCCTTCCTTCCTCGATTTTATTGCCCAGGGTCGACAGAAGGGCATCAGGGGAAGTGTCTGCATCAAGATTCGGCCATAGGTTTTTGTTCCTCGCTTTCTCGCCCCGTTCGATGTGGACTGAGTCGTAATCCCAGTTCAATTTGGAGGATATTGCTGATACTATGTCCATTAACCTTCTTGATTTCCATAACAAATGCCATGGACGTTGGATGACCGACTCGGTTTCTCCCTCGCAGACTCTGTACCAGTAGTTATCTGGTTCAACCGATCCAAACTTCCTCATGATGACAGAATCTGATACCTCTGCAAGCTTCATAGGTGTGACTTTATGGTCCTCCACGAGATAGAGACCTAACCGATCCTTCTTGTGCCACTTCCCCCAGTCCTCCCAAAACTGAGCCTGGTCCAGAACCGATGAAGCTTCGGTTAGGTGCTCGAAATCGAAGTAGAATCTGAAATCCTTCCCTTCCTCATCCTGATTCGAGGAAGTGTAGATGGAATTCAAGCAGATGGTTAAATCCATAACGAGAGTTCGATTCAAGTACTGAGCTTCACCCAATGCACACAAGAAGCTCCATAAGTAATGATTCATGTTCTTGCATCTATCACCCCCGCCATTGTAGATCAAGTACCTACCCTGACTGAATGATCTCTCGGATTCAACTACCGGAAGATCATCGTTCACCGTCTCACCCACCACAGGCAACAATGTCGAGTCTTCTTTCGTAGACTTCTTCTCGAACCCGGGTTTCTGATGCTTGTTCTTCCTCTTCCTAGCATTGACACCAGTATGGTAATCCCCAATCCCCGCCACGCTAAAGGTGCAATTCTCAGATCTGGCAATGGTGAATCTCCTGTAATCTTTATAAAACGAAGCCGACTTCCCTTCCTTGGGCCTGAACCTCCACGCCATGTCACAGGTGGTATCATTCGAGCCACGAACCGGTTTCCCAAACCTGTAGAAATGTATATCTTTAAACTGCTCTATTGCCTTCTTCATGAGCAAATGGAAGACCTCAGGATCCCTGCAGTCTACAGGGCCATCGCACCGCTCACTCTTTTCTTCCGCCTCGCCATCAGCACCATTACCATTGCCAACACCTTCCTCAACAATTGTCGGGATCACAACATCGCTAATGTTTATAAACGTGTTGAAAGCTGTCTGGTTTGGCAGCATGAAGTCCTCCCCTGTCTTCACCACCGAGGAATCAGGCTTAAATGTGGCATTAGATTGAGAAGTGAGGAAATTTGACATCTTTGTAGATGGATCAAACAGAGGGTCCTCTGGTTCATAGGTTGCAGCAATGATGGTGAAGATCAAGACCATCAACACAAAGAAAGTGAAGCAGACATTGCCAATCAAAGCTAGCGCATTCTGCCCTAGATTCTCAGGCCTGAAACCTCCAGCCCTCGACAATCCATTGCGACCCATCATATTGTCCCGCCCCTAATTTGCCCTTTCCGTCCAATCCCCACAAAAAGCTCCCGGATATCAGCTGAAACAGAGATACGCGAAGCAAACCCAGATGACCGTTTGCAGGCCAACCAATTAAAATCAGGGTTTCTTTTCAAGATCTGGGTTTTACGAGCTAGCTGCTAGCAAGTAATTAAGTGAACCCAAGATCTAAATTAAGAAGCTAATTCCTTTAATGGAAGCAGCGGGAGATAATGTCTGAGATCTAATTACCTTCTTCCTTCAAGGACTTGACGGAAATGGCTCATTGCTCATCCGGCTCAGCTCTCTAGTTTCTTCTTTCCTTTGCTGGCCTGTCTCCCTCTGTCTAGTAACAAGCCGAGAGTGAGAAAGTGAGATAGAGCGGCCGCGATCTGAATTGATGATGATGAAGCTTGAAGTCAACACGACACATGTGTTGTTGGTAATGGAATGGAACGGAAGCACACCGACAATGGCAAAGATGCAAATAAAAGGATAAAAAGTAAAAACAAAGAGTGATGATAACATTTTTTGCTTTTGGCTTCAAAGAAGTTCTAATGCTTAACACTATTGGATTACTTACATAAACGGCATTAAAATTAAATAAGATAATTCCTTTCTTATAGATTTGATTTTTTTTTTTTTATCTACGTGCTACAATTTGGATTTGTACTTTTAATATTTGTATATATACTCTTTTGTACAAATTCGTTTATGGTACAACCAAATTCAGATTGTACCATAGTATAAAAGTACAAAAAATTTTATAGTTCGAACGGAACTTGTAACTTTAACATTGTATTACATCTTCAAGTTGTTTATTAAAGTAAGAATATTTAAAGGATAGTAGAAATTACATTATTAAATTGTTGGATTATACATTCTTATTTTGTAGTAGTGCTACATAATCATAATGGATGTCTGCAATTGGAGAAAATGTGATTTAATAGTCATCTTTATAGAGAAGTAAAGAGGTAAAGTAGGGGTTTGGAAAGACAACTCACCTGATTTTTTTTTAAATGTCTAATTCAAGACATTTCTTCTATACAACAATCTAGGTTACAATGTACAAGCACAACACACTATTGATGTCACATACCTAACACCAAAGCCAAAAAAAAGGGGGGAAAGCTTGCTGTCACTAGACACTCTTTGCTAGTTCAGTACTCTCTCGAGTTCTTTCCTGTCAATGATAAGACCTAAAGGGCACACGAGTTCTAAACTGAGACCAAACAAAACAATAGATTCAGAATAAAACTCTGGTCGCCCGGGGTTACGAATCAGAAAAGGGCAAATATGCATCATGGAGACTTGACTTTCGAACATGTACACGATGCAGCCTTACGCTGGACATGGTTCCTGCTTCTCTGAACCATGTCCTGCAGTAATTTCTTGGCTGTTTCAGCAGCAGCTTTGTCCGAACCATCGACTTGAGAAGCAATGTCATAAACCATCTTCTCTATAACGGACGATGCTAACCTCTTTTCCTCTGGAGTATCTCTGAGCAAGTCGAGAAGCGTCCGAGCTCTCTCTTGAGATTTAGCGGTGCCTTCAGCTGTAAGGCGTAGAAGTCCCGGGATTGCACCTTCGCTGAGAATGAGTCCCCTGTACTTATCTCGGTTACTCTGGCACAAGGAGAGCAAAGCACCAACAGCATGTTCCGTGCTCACAAGTGATCCATCTTCAACTGTCTCTACTATGGTTAGAATCCCACCCGCTGAATCTGTTATAGCAGCTCGGCCTTCTTCTGATTTGGCAAGTATTTCCAGGAGTGCTGTGGCTTTCTCTGCAAATTTAGAGCACTTCTTACATTCTTTGAGGAGGCTTATGAGGGGGGTTACTGCTTTGGGGTCGAGTATCACGTGTGAAGAGTTCTCTACCGTGCAAGTGGAGAGATTGTGAAGGGCTGTAACAGCGTCAACTTTGCCTTGCACAGAGCCCAAGGTCAGGATCTGGACTAGGAACTGTGGAGCTCCTGAAGCTGCGATGATTGACTTGTTAGGTTCAGCAGCTGAGAGTGTTAAGATTGCTGCCGTTGCTAGTTCTCTTAAGCTACTTGTCTGAAACTTGAGGATTTCTACAAGAGGGGGGATGGCACCAGCTGTCACTATGCTTACCTTGTTTCTGAAGCAACAAAAGGAACAAACACGTCAGTAGGAGCTTTATATTGGGGAAAAACAACATTTGAATGCTTATTTGAGTTAGTAACCTTAATCCAGGATACTGGGGAAAAATAGCGCAATAAACACGTGGAAAACTTTTGGAGTCTGAAGCTATAAGCATAAGTGAATTGCAGAAACAACCAAAAACTTCAGAGATGTTTACAGCAATAGGCAATACTTTCTTGCGAGTCCGTTGCCAAATGAAAAATGTATCATTTCATCTCTGAGAATATCAAACACAAACACTGCAAAGCTTCTGCTTCACCTCTAGCTCCAGATGACGAGAATACTGAAATGCTGGTAAGCGAAATTGAAGCATGCCTACTGTGACTGAAAAACTACCCCAAATGGTGCAATTCGCATACCAACTCTTGAATCTAAATGAAAAAGGAATGAACTTCAACCGACCATCTCTACCAACACTAAACACGCACGTCCTACCTGAAAAAACAAGGACAGCTAATTGCTATGCCAGAACTCTTTCAGTATCATCACAAGTTCAAACAAAATAACGGAAGGTTCAGAGCATAATCCCCATTCGGTTACTGTTACCTACTAAATTAGCCTGCCCTAGAAACAATAACAGAATCCATCAGCTACTGAGTCCACAAAAGAATTAAACAGGGAAATCAAAAACTTCAATCTCAATTCGCCTCATAGAAATTCAGGAAATCAACCAGTTTCCCTTGTTCTTCATCATCGAGCTTTTCAGGAATCAAGTAAACAGCCAGAGAAATCAATCCAAAGAGATTCTCAGAGAAGCTGCAGACCTCTCATTCCTGACGGCGAGGTTGAGGAGTGCAAGGAGAGAGGCCTCACGAGCGTCAAGATTAGGCGAGAGGAGCATGAGAATCAGCGGCTGGATGACTCCGGCGGAGGCGAATTTGGAGCGGGTTTTGGCGGAAGACGACTTTCTGACGAGCCTACGGATGTCTCGTGCGGCTTGTATCTTGGTACAGAGATCTCCTCCGGTGATGAGTTTGTCGGCGAGCTCGAGGATTAGTCTGTCTTTACGCAGATTCCAAGCTTCTTCCTCCCGGTCCTTCTTGGTCGCCGCCGAAGGAGGTTCCGCCGGAGTCTCGTCTTCCTCTTCCTGCCCCATTACTCTCTTCTCTGTCCTTCTCTGAATCAGACAATCTGACTCCGGCGAGGAAAAATGGAAAGAAAGGGGTTTCTTTTTCCGTTCGTCTTTTTGGATCAAGTTTTCAGATCATTCCGTAAGAAAATAAAAAGAATGTATCTAAATGAAAAAGTAAACAATGGGTAACTTGGTAACCAAACTTAAATTAGTCATTGAACTTTAATTTCTTAGTAAACTTGTAAAAATAGTAATTTCCTCCATTTTGATGAGATTGATCGTCGTAAATTGTCAAATTATCGTTTAAGTTATACGAGTCAATGATTATCTGTGTGGTGGTAGGTAATGTTATCCACCTAAAGTAGTTTTTCCATTGTTTTTTTCATTTATTTATTAATTTTTGATAATTTATTTATTTACAGAGTTGGCCTAGTGATAATACGGGAATGAGAACATTTATCACACCGTTAATTCAAACCTCGGAGCCAACAACAAAGAACAAAAAAGTTTGACAATTATTTTATAGGATTTAAGGCTGAAATTGGAAATCGCCAGTATCTGAGTGTCCTTTTTATATTTAGCTTGTTGGATTATAATTATAAATAAATACATTTATTTACGGAGGGGATGGGGTATTGGAGGTAAGTTCTTGTTTTCTTGTGGGTTTAGGGAATAATTTGGTAATTCTATTGTTTGTCTCTTTGCGATTGTTCCTTTCCTGGCCGCCCGCTTACACTAATAAATCAATAAATATGATAATGATGAGTATTATTTAGGGTCCGATACTATAACAACACTCTTTTTTGAATAGAATAACAACACTCATAGTGTTGTTATAGTTAACAACAGGGGTAAAAACGGAAATTAACAACAAAATTAAAAAAAATGTAAGTTTCAAGTCCTATCTGTCCTCTCTCGATCTCTCGTACGCTCCTCCCCGCTGTTGGCAGGAACGCGGCTACGACTCCGATCTGGCGGCTACGACTCCGATCTGGCAGCTACGATTGAAGCATCCTTCAATCCCCGTCGTTCCTTCTTTCTTCTGCCGCCGAGGTCGCTAGTTCTCCTGTCGTTCCTATTCGCCGCCGTCAATCCTTAGTTCGTCGGTTACCTGCAAAACAGAGCATCATAAGGCAGGGAACAACCACAAAAACAACGATTCAACACACACGAATACGGAATCATCATCATCATCAGCTCAATCGTCGTCGTCCAGCCCGGAGCATGAGCCAACTGTTCCACTGACTGTCGGATTTTCGACGGGATACGTTGCAGGATCTTCAATAGGGAAGAAGTAAGGTGGGTCGGCTCCATCAATTCTCCTTCTTCAACCTCGCATGCAGAGGATTTTTGTGTCAAGCCCCCTCTGTCACTGCTGTCCTTCAGCTCTCAGGTCCGCTCTCTCCTCTCGCTGGCGGCTTCCGATATTCTCCGGGGCAACCCATCAGAAAATGGAAGAAGTTATTTACCAAAAAAAAAATTGTAAGAAGTAGAAATTCGAACGCAGAGAAGAAGGGTGGGGGATTTCATGGTTCCTTTAATTTCACTTTCTTTCTTTAGCTTTTCTGCTATGCTGCTTTGTTCTCGTTTATTGATGAAGATTGAAGAAGGAAGGGTGGGAGAGGGAGTCGGAGAGATTTTAGAGAAGGATGTGATAATATGTGAAAATAAAAAGTAATGATTTTTTTAATTTATTGTTATTTTATGATAAAATATTATTAACATAAAAATCACAAAAAACCCTACGAGAAACCTTTTAATGAAGCCCACATATTCCCTGAAATATTCTAGAAATATCACAAAGCAAACCACAAATATTAATTATGCACACCATAAACCTTCTAATGCATACCACTAATCGCCTAAAACATACTAGAAATCCCACAAAGTAAACCATAAATATTTTATAAGCACACTAGAAACCTCCTAATACAAACCACAAATGCGATAAAACAAACCACAAAAAGCATATCAGAAACCTCCTAAACCAGACCGCAGATGCTCTAAAACAAACCAGAAACCCCGCAAAGCAAACCACAGAATTTTAAAAAACACACCACAAACCTCATAATGCAAACCACAAACACGAGAAAGCAAACCACAAAAACAAACCAGAAACGTCCTAATGCAGACCAAAAATCTATTAAAACAAACCAGAAACCTCGCAAAGCAAACCACAAAATTTTTGAAAGCAAACCAGAAACTTCTCAATGCAAACCACAAACACGATAAAGCAAACCAAAAACTTCTTAATGCAAACCACAAACACGATAAAGCAAACCACAAAAGGCATACAAAAATATGGGAAACCAAACCATAAATCTCACATTGCAGACCATAACATCCGGTGGTCATTGACCGTTGACCGATCAACTAACTTCGTTGACCGAACTCCGGTGACCGTTAGTGAGCAGATTCCGACGTCGATAGGCATATTCCAGCCCCAATGAACTCGAAACTTACCCCACTCTTTCACCCTTTGTAGTCGACAGAGCGAACCTCACACCCTAGTATTTTTTGTTTATTTGATGTTTGTGGATGATGATAATCTTGTGGTGCTTGTGTTTGACGTCTTGATAGTTGGTACTCGGTAATTCGATGAAGACTTTTGATTATTTGTAATTTTATGTGTTTGAATTTGAATTTGAATTATCAATTAACGATCTATGTTGTATTGTATTGATGTTATTTCTTGTGATTATTATTTAATTATTTTTATAAAATTGTTTTGAATTGTTTATATAATTATATTTTAGTAATAAAATGGATACGATACAAAATTTCAAAATAACAAAGAAAAATGTCACATGTTGATGTTGTTATTAGTTAGCGGTTAACCGACAAATTAACCGCTAACCGAACCGATAACATGTCGTTTCTGATAAGCCTTATAGATTTGCATTTTCTTAGTGGTATGTCTTTTATGGAGGATTTGGAAATCCCAGAACACTATGATCTTTGAATATCATCAATCTCGGGTATGGGTTCTCACCAGGGGTGGAAATCGGTACGGTATCGGTATTCCAGTATCAAATACCGAAATCCCGAATACCGAATTACACCCTAAACTCAATCCCAATCCCAATCTCTAAATAATTTCGGTATCCCAATATCTAAATATTTCGTTATCCCAATCGGTACCTCGGAATCCCAATCGGTATTATCGAATACGAAATTAATTACCTTTACAATTGAAAATTAAATATATAAATTTGATTTTATTGTTAAATTTAGGGCAAAGAGACTAAACAAAGAGTCTTGAGTCTGTCTAGAGCTAGGATATGAATAAGGAGAATGGAGGAGATGTGACATCTCAAGTTCTTGTAATTTAGTAATCTTTAATTTGACGAATTGGAGGTTATGAGACGACTAATACTAGTGTTTGCTTTTTGGTGTTATGAAAACAACAAGAGATATAAGGTGAGAAACGAGAGTGACTTAAATTGAAAAGTCAAATTTGAATTGAATGGGGACTTCTAAGTTGAGAAATAGTGATTGAATGATCTATGTATAATTAAATGACACTCTTGGTGATTGAGGATTATGTAGTAGTTAATGAGAGAGTCTAGTTGAGAAGATAAAATACACACTAGCTTATATTTCGGTATTGATCGGTATTTCGGTATATATCGATCTCAATCCCTAATACCGAATAACAATTAAAATTCAATCCCAATCCCAGTCTATTCGGTAATACCAAATATAGACAAATTCGGTACGGTATTCGGTATATCTCAAATACCAGTACCAAACTTCCAGCCTTAGTTCTCACTGTTCCGTTTGAATTTCAAGTCCGAGAATTCTCTTCTTTGCTCCTCCCCCTCCCCCTCCTCCTCTTCGATCCCCCCCCCCCCCCTAGTTAGTTTGGTGCTCTCTCCTCCCTCATGTGTTGTTAAGATTAACTTCCCCGCCGCTTGACAGGATGTTACCTCTTATGGAATTGTTGTTGGAGACTGTAGCGGGTACACTCTGTCGGCAGTTATCCTCTATTACTGCATCTCCGACCTGCAACTTGCATAAATTCTAGCATCATGTGTACCTTTTCATTGGCGATCTCTCGACAGATTGCTAGAGTGGTAATTGAAGGCGATTCAGAGGTTTTCATTCGTCGACTCCAAAAGGATTTCTCCTCCTATGCCCTAGGTGGGCCTGTGCTGCGTTATTGTTTTCACCTCATCTTAGCCTTGCCTCATGGTGTAGAATTTAGGATAGTTCCTAGAGTTTTCGATTGCACCTAGAGTGACGCGTAAAGGCCTTTACTAATCTGTGTTTGAATTGGATTCCTAAGAGAAAAAAATCCAAAAGTACCACTGTTTAAAAAAAAGAATCCCAAAAATACCACCCAACCGCAAAAAATTCAAAAATACCACCCTTTTTCAAAAACCGTCACCCCACCCTGCGGTTTACACGAAAACCGCTGGGCGGGGGCGCGGTTTTCTATGCAAACAACGGGCCTAGGGGCGGTTATAAAAAATATATATGGACCAAACCGCTGGGTGGGGTGGCGGTTTGGCCCAAAACCGCCACCCCACCCAGCGGTTTGGTCCAATTTTTTTTTTCGATCAACTCCTAACTTCGGCCAAAACTTCAAACGAATTCCTGTTTTGAAGTTTTGGCCGAAGTTACGTTCGTTTGAAGTTTCGGCCGAAGTTAGGAGTTGATCGGGAAAAAAAAAGGACCAAACCGCTGGTTGGGGTGGCGGTTTTGGGCCAAACCGCCACCCCACCCAGCGGTTTGGTCCAATTTTTTTTTTATAACCGCCCCTTAGCCCCGCGATTTGCATAGAAAACCACGCCCCCGTCCAGCGATTTTCGTGTAAACCGCAGGATGGGGTGACGGTTTTTGAAAAAGGTCGTATTTTTGGAATTTTTTTGTGTTGGATGGTATTTTTGGAATTCTTTTTTAAACGGTGGTATTATTGGAAAAAGTCCTTGATTTTGGCACCTTATTATTGATTTATTGTTGTAATGGGGTGGTTGGGATTTTGCAAGGGGTGGGGTGTTCTCCTCGGATTATTGTTTCTTTCTTGATATTTCTTGAGAGAAAAAAGTACGGTGCTAACACCATTATTGCTTCATTGATTATAGTAGTAATAGACTACTAATTCTATGGCAAGAATAGAGTAATAATTCTTAACAAAATCGGGTTGGAGCCACTGAGGTTAGTGATGGAATTGTGGAGCAAATGACAAACATGAGAAGTATCAAATCTATAAACTACCATAAAAAGATGAGACGAAATAAATAGATACAGTTCAAGACTTCAAAAGGACCGTTGTACAAAATTCAAATCCATAAATTGTTATACGAAATAAAGAAGTTCTTAGCCGTCAAATGAGCTATATTCTATTGTTAAGCCTGCCAATAAGTCGAATACTAGACCCCAGATACTTTACAATCAAATGACAAAGCTCTGTTAGGATCACACCCTTTTAAAGTCGTGAACACATGCTAAATTTACCTTATCAATAACTACTTTAGCGTCTTCCTCCAACCTCATTTCTGCAAAGCCAAGCGGGAGACTTGCTCCCGAAATGGTGAGCCGTTTAGCAAAGCCTAGCATACCAACTTCACACCATCCCGAAAATCAATGTTCTTTCAAGTTCGAATGGGTACTCGGTGGTGGATGTGCTTCTTCCTTTTCTTCGTATACAACTTCGTCTATTAGTTAACAAAAATAATTGTTTGAACAGGTGGCAAGGGATGGTAATTTCGACCTGTTCCTGATCAAATCAGATAATTTATCACGTAGACGAGGCAGGAATAGATACTCTTCTCAACCTGATATGTCCTGACCCACCTCATCCTCGACCAATTTGTTATTTGTTTACCTAAATTACTTGTAATTATATTCAAATTACTTAGAATTTTACTTATATTATATAATGAATTTGTAAATAGGTGAGTCTTAATTTCTCACCGTATTATAGTTTGTTCCTTGATTTATTAATGTAAAATAAATTTTTTCCTTATAAATTATATGCACATATAAATTGACCTAGCCCAACACATATAAGTTGACCTGCTTCGACCCACTCCCCATGAAATGCGATGTAACTGGTATGGGTATGGGTATTTTGATTTGCCTCAACCTACGTCCCATGACAAATGCGATGAAACCAGTATGGGTATCAAAATACCCACCCGAACCTGCCCATATGGTGGCCTGGAATTTTCTGCCAAGCTAGAAAGAGTTACAGGATCTCCTGCAAACCATCAAGCATATTTCACAAGAAAGGAGCGCGTTTAAATCTTTGCATAGAGAGGAAAGCGTTTCCGTTCTTCCTTTTTCTATAACCCTTCTCCAGCTACCGCCATAGGCAATTGCAATAAAACCAAAATGCATTGAAGAAAACGCATCTTTTCACCTTGGTTTTACAAACAGTTGCCAAATCATAACATTCAAACAGCACTTGAAACTTCTCTTGCTATCAAAAATTCACCTTTACATCAAAAACCAAGGGAACAAAAACAAGGAACAATGAGACGAGCAAAGGAAACAGAAGATTCCCCACCAACCAACCAACCTATATCTTGCCCCTTCCAATCCCCTACCAGAAAAGAATGGAGAACTCAACACTGAACTCTTAGGGAGAAGAGAGAAACTAAACACTGTTCTTCAAATACTATAACAAGTAAAACAAAGGGAAGGAAAGGAGAGGGGTAACAGAACAGGCTTCTGAAGAAGAAGAAGCAGGGACTACATCTTGCCTACCCAACTAAAGCTTAAAAATTGGTCAATCTGTTACAAGAGTTCCCAACCACCCCTATTTTTTCATTTTTCATCCCTTCCAACCCAGAAGCAAAATTAGAAGCTTGATACTACTTTTGTTGTTTTCAGTCTTCCTCTCCTCTGGATGTACAGACTGTCAGATCTCCACAGTCGAAAAATAACTTGTTCATACTTTCCTGCTGCTGGTTTTTCCCTTGATCTCTAAAAACTCATCTAAGTTCTCCCAAAAGAATGACCACCCACAGCCCCTTCCCTGAAACTATAATACTCCGCAAAAAGTAAGTTTCTTTTAAGCTCAATAGTTACTCGGCCAGTTCACCTGTTGATGCTGAGGCTGCTGCTGCTGGTAGACATTGGCAGCAGGTCCCCCCATGTCGACTCCACCAGCCATGGCTTGAGACTGTTGCAGTAGTGGGTGATGGACTCCTGCAGCCGTTACTGCTTGACCTGGGTGGTGGTAGATTCCAGCGAAAGGTCCATGGCCAGGCTGTGTGGGAGCGAAAGTCACGTGCTGGCCTTGAGGAGGGAGGTTATAGAAGGAGCTTGCTGGCATTGTTGACAGGTCACGGCCTGGAGCAGCAATCCACACGGCAGAACCTTCACTCTGTTTGACATAGCAAATTCTTCAGCAATTTAGAACTTAGAAGTATTTCATCTCAAAACAGATAGATCATTTCAAATGCCAAAACCAGAACCAGGACAAGTAAAAATGAAAGAGCCCTAACCAAAAACCCATAACCATCATTCTAAAAAGGAAACTTAAATTCAGCTTTCAGCAGGGTTCCTGTGCTGAAATTAAATCTCGAGAGGACAACTATTATAATCCCACTAGGCATATCATTTATAAAATATATGAAATTTCAGCAGGGTTCCTGTGTTGAAATGAAATCTCGAAAGAAACTATTATAATCGCACTAGTCATCTCATTTATCAAATATATGAAATGGCAGACTACATTCTTGATTGCATAAAAAGGTTCTGCAGGACAAACCATACTTGATTAGAACTCAACTTCTATGAATTGAAGTTACCAAAATACCTGCTGCCCAGACATGTATACATTACTTTCTTTGAATTGGGATGCACCAAGATCCTCATTTGTAGTTGTATTTCCCCCAGCTGCTTGAGAACCGGGATTATAACCAGCTGGGGCTGAAGCATATGGGCCGTAGCCGCTCGCCATTCCAATGTGAGTCGAGTTCCCCACATTAGTTCCAGGTTTATACTGCGGCAGTGAATATTTGACCCCGGCTGCAGCTGCTGCTGGTGGACCTGGAAACACATTGCCAGCTTGCGCTTGCTGGGGAAATGCACCATTACTCAAAAACTGATGGATGCCTGGTGGTGGAACATAGAATGGAGAGAAGTAGTGGCCGTAGGGAATGTAGTTTGGGGGATAGTGGGGCATGTGCAACCCGGTTGGTGGACGGAACACTGGTACTGGTTGTTGATTCAGGGAAAGCGAGCTCTGCATTAGCCCAGCAGCTTGAGTTGCCAGGGGAGTCGGGCCACCTGTAGACATGACCAATGAATTTGTGCCCTGCAAATGTCAAAGAAAGAGCTGATCTCAGATCCTATATCAAATTTGAAAAGATTTTAGACGGCAAGGAAAACAGATAAAGATCAAAATAAGCAAGTAAAAACCACTAGTTCAGCAACTCAAAAAGGGTAATCGTAACCCATGCAAAAGCCGATTTTAGTACAGGATACGGTGTTGAGTAAACCTCAAAGGAACTCGATGGGCGTGTTAGTTTAAATTTAAAGTTGACATAAAAGCTGAAACAAACAGACTTACTCGATCCAACTTCTTAAAACACCAATTTAGGGTGAACGTCACAAATTATTAGGAGCTAAAAGCCACCTCGCTAAAACAAAACTGGCTTGAACAGAGAACAAACAACCATTTGCCACTAAAGTAAGTAACCAGTGTTACTACAAAGAACATATTGCTTCAAGTAACAACAATTTGCCAAGGTCTGTATGTTATATGTTAATACCTCTTGAGGAGACTGGGAAGTGTGTGGAGGTAACACTGCAACATTCCCATTGTACTTGGTAGCAACTCCAGGAGACGGGAAAGGAGAAACACGGCCATCGCCATCCGCACCAGAACGATAAAACTGTGCATAGTAACTTGCTGGATCAAATGGCTGTTGGACCTACAGAAGGATCCACAGACAACAACATGAGGGGGGGGACTAGGAATTAGCCTGGTATCACAATCATTGTAACTTATTTGAGGCATGCTTTACTGTATTTCCTTATTGACATGAACCAAATATCCAAAAGAAAAGAATATGACTCTCGAATTAACCATGATTAGTTGGGCTATATTCTAAGATGTGTAAAGCTTCGTTAGTCTTTGAAATACAAACATTTCAGAAGTTTCTCTACAACACTAGTAGTTTACAGCATTCTCTAATGCAGTGTAACAGGCTCCAAGGAGATTTAGAGAAATATAAATGGACTCAAATCACAAAAGGAAAGACTAATCAAGAAGGAACATTAGATCATATGTGATAAGCCACAGCGGGCATGACAGTACCTTGGCAATGATAATGCCAGAGGCCAGCAGCTAGTGCCTAGAGCTCTCTCTTATAATAACTATAGGAAACTACCTATGGAGACATCATATTGTGTCATAAAAGCATATAAACCCAGGTGTTTGGGAACCACACAAGAAGTTCAGTCTTGAAAGCTTTTCCCTTTAAGTGACTATCCAACCACCACATTTATATATGACATACAGCTTAAAACTTACCACAAAGCTAGGCAGGCGAGAAACATCACGTGGTTGAGATTCCGAGTTTTCAAACTGCGGAATCTGGCCACCCATCACAGGATGAACAATACCAAAATAGCTTGGGGGTGCATGAACTCCCGAGTAAGGATGGGCAGCAGACAGCGCATTTTCTTGCTTGCCCTCACTATAATCAGGTGCTGCGCTGGCTGAAACATCACCATCATTTTGCAAATCGCCAGTTGCAGGAGAAGGTGGCTGTGGTTGTGGTTGTGGCTGTGGCTGATCAGGATAAGCTCCCTCCTCAGTGACTGCAACTTGACTTTGGGAGCCATGTATGACAAGTCAGGAAAAGTATAAAAGTGGAAATGACAAGACAGATGCTGAACATGCTACAACCTATATTTGATGGCACCAGTCTATCTAACTCAATAACAAACTCCATGGCCATGATACTAAACCAAAGACCAGAGCGTCTGAATTTAAACTGAAAAGTTTTATTTAATACACACCTTGCTGCTGGCTCCTCCAGAGCTTCTTCAACGCTGTGTGTTGCTTCGGACAAGGGAGTGGAGCTTTTCTCACTCTCTGGCCCACTAGTAGAACTTGAGTTTTCACCAAAGTTAGTATCAAAGCTTCCAAAGCTCAACTTGGTTCTCTCTGATTCCGGAACATGGATATGGTTTGGAATGATAACATGCTGTCGCTGTGGAAGAGGCAGCTCCAACTTCTGCAAGTTTGAAGTTAAATCATCCAAATCACCTCCTGAAGCTGGCTGTGATTGAGGAACTGATTGAGGAACACTTTCAACTGGTGCATTAGGAACTTCCGTCGAGCTAGCTATACCAGAAACCTGGGCTACAGTGGAGTTCGTAGTCTTTGGTTTCCACTCTTTGGTAGAACCAGCTATTGAAAAGAAAAAAAGGGGGGAAAAGAGAGATCAACTAACCAGCCAAAACGAAAGAAACAAATAGCAACAAAGAATAGGTATCTTCTCGTGGAAACACTGTCTTCCTTGTTACAGTTAGTAAGAAAGAATGGCATGCAGAATTATCCATATCAATATATGATACAAGGTCAAAGCAAATACACCAACAATGGATTAGAAAACCATGTGATTTCAATAAAGAAAACTTCTACAGCAAATAACAGGAGTGCCAGCAGTAGCTGTGAAGTTGAAACAAAAGAATATTAATAAAAAGGGCAAAAGCAGGAGGGGGATGACAAAGTTTAATATCTAGTTCCAGCCATTACCTTTTTGAGTACCAATCACTTGTTGTGACCTGCTGCCATAATTAGAGGATGGTCTACTAATAGAAGAACCAGTATGAACTGATGCAGATGTGGGTTGAGAAGATTCACTGAACTGACTCTTCCCCCCACTTTGGGGTTTGTTCGAAATCTTTACTGGAACTGCAAAATCGGAAGGCAGTTAGAAATCATAGTACATCATATTGCATCACTAAAACTTGAATCTGGTTCAGGATTCTCACCTGGTTTCTCAGAATTAGGAACAGCATTCGTATCAGCAAGAGTTCGCTGGATCCCTACTTCACGTTTAATTGTACCCACTGTGCCAGCAAGCCTTGAATCATTAGATGGCACTAGTACAGGATCTGAAGATGAGAAACAGACAGTCGATGAGGATACTGCAGTCACTGACACTGATGCGCTGCTACTGCTTGGCACAAGCTCTACAACTGTGTCACCAGTTCCATGTGCAACTACAGGGGTTTTATTGGCAGCAGTTGGCTCCCTTGCTTCACTAGCAGCGCCAGAAGCTAAGCCAATAGGACCATTGGCGACAACAGCAACAGAACTGACAGAGGAATAGATGATTAGGAGAAATGATTACTTAAAGACAGATGACCTGAAAAGCAAAAAATGCAAATTTGAATTAATAAACAAGTTACCTTTCAGGGGTAGTTGTGTCTTTACTTTTCTCCTGGGAAGCTGGTGCTGATGAGCCAACACCTTTCTCTGCAGGTTGGCTAGTACTACTTTCCCTTCCAGGGATAGGAGCTCGGCCACTACCTCCATCTGGAAGAAGGTCCAGTTGCATTATCATGTTAAACATTGAAGTCGAACACAGTCAAACGAAATATAACGCTTTAGAAGCACATTAGTACATGTCTAATGTGCACTTCTACGAAGATAACAACAGTTCAAAGCCACTACATATGCAGGTCAATGTAAATAATGAAATACAATAATTACTGATACAGCAACAGAATAGTGGCCTTTCAAGAGAAACTGGGCATTTCAATAGCGTCACTTCTAACTACAATAGAAACATATGCCAAGAAATTGTGGTATTAGAGTTCTTTACCATGAGAGGAATAACGAGTATAGTTCATCCGACCACCCCTACTCCCCCGCCCTTGGGTGCCTGATCTCCACCGAGAATCTCCTGCCTCTTTATTATTAACATTCTGCAGGAGTTTGAAAAGGGAAGATTAACCAGTATCAAAATGACACTGAAGAGAGTAGAAAGCAACTTCAGAGAAAATTTTCCAATTCTAGACGACTTGAAACATTCAGAATCCAATAACCTCAAAGAAGTGAGAAATATCTTCCTGCACCTTTTTGTCCAGCATATTAAACCCAAGTTAATATTCAGGAGATGTAAATGTCACATCGTTGGTTATCATAAAAACAAGCAAATATCTCTGTTCACCAACCTAGAGTCACTAACAGAATCTTGCACCTCTATTTGGCATACAGTTCACACACCTACCCATCCCTGAAGATCACTTTTCTATCCTGGGTTCACAATTAGAAATACAGGCACAAACAAAACAAACCATGATTTCCCTACTTCACTTGCTAAGATTACTTTCTAAGTTCGTCTGAAAACATATAATCGGAATGAAATCCCCTAAGCATGATGCAATCTTGTAAAAACCAAGTACAAGCCATTGGGTGGACAATAAGCCTAATGTTCGATTATGAACTTGAAAGAATACCTCTTTCTTTTTGTCGCGCTTCCTTTTGACTTCATGAAACGGGTCTGCAAAACGAGACAGGCATTAACTTCTTGGTTATGAGCAAAAAGAAGCAAATAAAGATTAAACCAGTTGCAAAAAAAGAATTGAAATCAGTTGCAAGTTGCAAGGTAATAGTACTCCTCAACGCTCCAGCAATTCAGTCCATAAACATTTGTAAAAATTGTACAAAGGGAAGCGAAGAAGGATTCAGAACATAAGGTCATGTTCTGAGCTTAATCAATGTAAGCGAGATCGGGTAAGTGACAAAGGTTTTGTCTTTGGAGCTCACCAGCCACTACATCTCACACGTTATGCTATGGCTTAGAAAACCTCCAAACCCAGAAACATTACTAGAAGAAAATTGGAAAGCAAAGATGGAGTAGGAGAGGCAGGGATTTCCCTTGAGACATTGGAGTGTAAGTTTCAGCTCCGCAAAGTCTAACCAGAAAGTAAGAAAGAACAAACTCAAGGGCGAAGTAACCCAACATAAAAGGGTGGGAACCCATGCCAGGAAAACCAAAAACCTAATTGGAGCCCCACTCTGGAACGGCCCCAAATCCCAAAACCTAGAAAAAGTGGAGTCAAAATCCTCAGACAACGAGTATGGATCGCGGCTAAATCAAGAGCGAAAGCAGTACATTCCAAATCAACCAGACAACGATAGGCGAGAGTAAAGACGGAATAGACCGTCAGGAAATGAGGGGGGAATGAAGTTTTACCGACAAGGAGGAGCTTCTGGGTGGTTTCGTTGGGATCCATAGAACACTCCTTGAGCATTGCGTAAATTTCTTCATCACTGTGATTCCCTGTGATCTCCTTAATGTTCTGGATCGTCTTCCTGACGCTGCCGGGGATTGAAACCCTAACCCCACCACTAGCTCCGCCGCCGCTCATCTTTCGAAGCACAGCAAACCCCAGCAGCCGAAAATAAACTTCCCCTCCAAGGTCTTTCCCCCGCCTCCTCTAAACCTGAAAAGGGTGCCGCCAACAGAAAAAGGTAGTGAAATCTCTACGGAAAACGCGCCAAACGGGAGAGATAGACTGAGGGAGCTGGCGGGGGAAGGCCGGCGAGGGATTTGCTCGATTTGAATTGATCTTTTGGAAGGAGAAGAAGATGAAGGAAGTGCAAGAAAATATTAAGAAACGAGAAAGAAGGAAAGCATAAACGAAGTGTGTTTTTATTTTTTTCCCCCTGTTTTTATTTTTTCCCCCTTTGTCTATGCGTTCTTTATTTTCCTTCTTTTGAATTATTGATGGGCTTTTGTTGCTAATGTTTTTTGGTATTTACTAACTTGCCACTATGTTCATTGTTTGTTTTGGTTTTCATTTCTCAGGGAGGTTGGTTATATCAGGTCATTAATTTTATGGTGAGTAACCATGAGTAAATTGTCAACATCAGCATGACATCAGTATCTCTCTTCTAAAAAGCCTTTAATATTTCCCTCAATCTTTTTCGGACGATTTCTTACTTGTTTTAAGTCGAAATTTATTTTTTTGCACAGTTAGATCAGATTAATTATGCTCTTCAAAATTATATCAACTTTGATATATTTTTCGAACAAAAAAAATTGAGCCATTTTTAACAGTCTATACCATATGGTATTGACTGGTATTGAAATAAGAGCATACCTATGGTTTGAAAAGCGTATCATGGTGGTATGAACAAACCAAGACTGTAGGATGGTTGAATACATGATAGTAGAAGTATATTAATTGTCATTTACGATTTTTAACATTGTGTACCACAAGATACCACCTCGTACCAGGGTGGTACCAAAAGGTTGGTCGTGCAAAGTACTTGCCTTTTTTTCCTATCTATGTACACGATGTCACAACTTACAACAAACAACAAATGTGTCCTAACAGCTACAAAAGATTTCACCTTTACACTGGGAATCCAAAGTTATCATACATCGGCATTAGGAGAATGGCGAGGAAGCCTCCTCTGATCGATAATCGGAAGGGCGACGGAGTTGTGATTATCGACATTGGTGATGTCGTGGATGCTCGATCTCTTCCTCTCTTTCTTCACCGAGCTCTGTCGAAGGAAGTACTTCTGGGCGTGGCTGGCGACTTGCGTCGGAGTTCTCGTCACCACTATGTTCCCCGAGATGCTCCTCCAATCTCCCTTGCGTATTTCCTTAACCCGATCAGAAACAACCTGTGATTCAATGATGGAAGCCACAAAATGGTTTCAGTTGGCATGTTGTGATTTCATCTCCTTTTGCCACGGATGGTCCAAGTTACTTGCATCAACAATTAGGAATCACAAAGCTTCCTCCTTTCTTATGGAGGTATAAAATTGGTTCGGAAATGGCGAATTCACAAAACGTTTCGACCGTTTTCTCCAGCCAAAAATGGAAACAGAGCAGCAAATTACATGAACCAGAGGATTTCCAGTTAGAAAATTCAGAAACAGAGAGGAAAACGAAGAGGGAGAAAGGGGGAAAGAACGTACTTGTGCTCTTCTTCGGTCCAAGGAGTGCCTTTCTTCCTCTCGCCATCCCCATGTTTGACCTTCCCACCGCCGCCGAATGAAATCTGCCCGGAATCGTCTCCGTCGACAAACGACGAGTCGTCGAAGTAAGTCGGCAAGTCGACTCTGCCGGAATCAATGTCATAAACATCGCTCACCAAGAGGTTGTAATGCTCCACCGCCGAGCGGCCGACATGATCAGCGATTCTCAGCCATCGGTCTGGGGAGTCGTCAGGGAACAAAACCAAAGCTTGCTCGAACTTCTTGTTGTCAAATCGAGTCCAGTGAGCTCCGGCGACAGAGCAACAGCGGTCATGATACATCTTTCACACAAGAAAAGAAAAACAGAGGAAAGGGGAAACAGGGGAAGGAAGGAAAGATCGAAGCTTTAGTTTGGAATTTGGCGAAGTGGGTATTTCACTATTTCTAGTTCCATGGGAGATTTCAAGATGACAAATATCCTACGTTTTCCCTGCCCTTTCTGTTTTTGTGGGTGGGTTTTTCCTGAATAGGGAAATGGGTAATTAGCAGCTGTTCTTGTCCTTTTTGGGTGTTCCTCTTTGGAAAAAGCTTCAACCGTTAACTTTTACTCTTCTGATTAGAGGACACTAATCATTGGTTTAGGTGGGAGGTCAGGCCAAATTACAGTTAGTCCCGTGTCATATGACTTCATTGGAACCGGCTACAGTTAACCTCGAATAGACGGTAACAACAATGCTAATGATGAATTCTCAGAAAGAGTTTGGTACATTGGTTGACTCTTATATCAAATCCAGTATCCAATCTGAGACAAATTAACCTTCTTTGTCATCTTAGAGTCCAGTCAGGGCCAATGCACATTACCTCTTCATGTCTAACCTCAACTCGACCTCTAACCATTTTGAACAATTCCAGCGCAGTGGAAGTGAGTCTGCCGCCGGCCCGGCCAATGTACAGTACCTGCAGTCTCCGGCATCCTTGCCTCAAACCCTGCAATCCCGAATCACAGAGATTACGACACCGATTCACATGGAGCCTCTCTAGCTCGTTGCAGTTCGCCCCGATGGCCTCCCACCCTGCAAACCGAACCTCATGACACAATGATAAGTTCCACTCCTTAAGCAAGGGGCAACCTCTGGCTATCGCCATTATTGATTCATCCCCTATGGTCCTGCATAACCCCAGGTTCAGAATCTTGAGCTTCGAGGCAAACCCTGAACCGATTTCTGCCAACGCACCTCCATGAAAGTTCACACCATAGAGGTTCAAGTACTCGATCCCACCTCCACTGACAATACATGATATTCGTTCTCGCTCAAGATTGCAGTTTTCAGCATCTATGTAGCATAGAGTAGATGAACATCCTTCGAAGCCTTTGCCAGTCACTCCCTTGCACCAAGAAATCTTAACTGCCAGAATCTCGCGGCAGCTCCTACAAAGAGCTCTCAGACCCTGATCAGAGATATTAGGGCAATATGAGAGGTTTATTCTTTTCAATACCAGACATCCATTTACTAAAGCCCCCAAACCATCATCGGTGATATTGCATCTATAGAAACTGATATCTGTTAGAGATGGGCAACTGTTGGCAATTAGTGAGAGACCAAAATCAGTGATCCGGAAGCAACAATCAAGACTGAGAGAGAGCAATTTAGAGCCATGGACTTGTAACAGGTTTAGACCAGAGTCCTGAAGCTCTGTGCACCCGGATAGAGAGAGATGCTCCAAGTGTTGAAAGCGAGTGAGCAGCCTATGAACATGGTAGGAGCTCACAAGGAGGGTGGCTCTGGATGATGAAGAAAGTTGGATTACAGTGAATGAGCAAGAGAGCTGCAAGGATTTTCGGTTTGTATTCTGAATTTTCAGCCATCGATGGCAGGTCAATCCAAATGACTCACGATCGGTGCTAGAGTTGAGCTTCTGGAAGATTATGGAGAGGCAATCATCCGGGAGATGAATGATCATGTTGTTTGATGATGGGTTCCTCCCCGGAAGGCTGCAAAGCACGGATCTTTATGGTGAACTTCGTGTAGGATGAGGTGGATGATGATTCAGCAGAAGAGTCAAAACCACAAAGCACTAGAGAATTGCCATGGCCATAGCCTATATGAACCCCACATTTTCGACACAAGAGCTTGGTTTTAGCATGATAAGATCCCCAACAGAAAGGAAGGCAGTGTAGCTCGTCCACCTGTGTGAATCTACTAAGGTCAATGGAGAGAAATGAGATGAAACCTTTCTTTATGGATCGACGATATCCGGAAGAAGCTATGGTCGAAGTGATTCGGTTGGAGGATGTCAAGTTCAATGGGAACCCACAAGAACCACAGCTGCAACGCAAACACACATCAACACAAGAACAAGTTAGCAACACAATGTGCACTTTGTAATTGAGGGAAAGTATCGATCAAAACACACAATATTCATTACATTTTCACAAAAATATCAGCTGGAGTAAAGACTTAAATAAATGCTCAGAGTACACTAATTGGGAACTGAATCTATTACTCGAGGCAGACTCTGACTGCAGAAACCAGAAGAAAGAACGCTGTACTAGAGCTAGACAGACACTTCTGATTTTTATACAGATTGAATAGAGGAAAACACATTCAAGTGTTGAAGATGAGCTCAACTAGTAATTCATGGCTGTAGATTCCCAGCTCGCAAAGTATCAAAAGCCACAAAAGCCGATATTTTGACTAATGAAGTAGAGACATTTTCATCTACTCGTCACTTCTTCCGATTATAGTTCTGATCAGGGGGAAAACCCCCACCCAGATCGGTGTTCATATGGAAGTACCTGAAAGGAAAGTATCCCCTTTTCCTTTCCCCCCAATTGATGTATGAATTGAAGGCTCAAAACCCATTAGACCAAACGACGCATCAAGGAATTCAAACAACAAGAAAAACAACATCTGAATCGAATTGCATCTCCTCTTACCCACAATCAGACGGAAGAGATTAATGACCTAGTAACGGAATGAGAAATTAGAGGGTGGAAAATCGAGGGGAAAGGTGAAAGCTTTGGAGTTTCTGTTTCCCCTTCTTTCCGATTACCTGTAAGAGACGTCAGGTTGGGACATCTACTTAGAGAGACAGTCGGAATCGTATGGAAGGTTCCTTATTTGAGGTTGTGGGTACTGAGAGAAAGGCGATGAATTGATATGATCTTGGAGCTCACTTACTATGCTCTAAAGTATTGATGCTTTAGTATGTTTACTACCGTTGGATCTTATTCTTATATATAAACCATTAGATCAAATTGAATTAATTAATATATTATTTGTTTTGGCTGATGGAAACCGGTTGCACCGGTTGAGGAATTAAATAATTAAAAAAGAACAAATCCACACCTCCTACATTCGTCGCCGTTCAGATGCCAGTTCGGAGAGAGACCGGGAAAACAAGAGCGAGTAGGCCCCTTCACACTTGAGCTCTGAATCCGGGGAGAGGATGATGAGAATCAGGCCGGCGACTACCTGGGTGGATGGCTTTCTGAGGACGGGTTGATGTTGGCCTGGAGGATCTCGTCGGCGGTTACGGTTCACTATGACGACAACCAAGGAAGGTCAAAATAAGGTGTCGGAGGTCTCGGTGCCAGTCATGGCGACGGGGCACGACAGTGCGGTAGTGTCAGCGGGGAAGGGGACATCTGGTAGTGGGTCATTCGGGCATCAGAAGTCCGACGTGATGGAGGGGACGCTCCGGCTGCTGTGCTTGGTGACATCACTGACAGTCGTAGGATTCATGGTGACGGCTTGGCAGTCAGGTTTCGTCTCCATCTACGGCTTCATGCTCCGGGTCAATTCCAAGTGGTCCTTCTCTCATGCCTTCCAGTAAGTAGTTAGTCTCTGTCTTGTTTTGTTTACTCTGTTTTCCCCTGTTTCTATTTTCATTTCCTCCTCTGTATTTTTATCGGCAACCAAACAAACAAAACCTCCGCTCCTCATTCATTGATGGCTTTATTGTGTTTTGGTGGGCAACTTCTACGGTGTCGTAAATGCAAGGGTGCCGCTATAGATGCAGCCGTCGGATATTCTATGTTAAATCCCAGCCTTAGATTCAAAACCACTACTTAACCAAAACCGGCTGAACCTATTAGCATACATAGGTTAACTCTTTTCTTCCCCGTAATTATTTTTATTTTTATTACTTTTGTTTTACCGGGAATACCAAAGAAAAATTGAAGATTGATTTCCGAAGGACCATATCTAACAGGAAGAATCCATACAAATTTCATATTTGATTATTAACTTATTCGAGTTGAAATGATGGTGATCAATCGATCTGGGAGAAGGGGTAGTAACGGGCTAACGGCAATGGCCGGCGATAATGGGGTTGATGGAGGGAGTTGATCCGGATTTTCCTCCGGGTAGCAACGAGACGATGTTGGTGATGGTAGGCTAGCCGCAATGGCTGTGATGGTGATGGTGATTTGCAGCACTGAAGGAAGGAGTTAGGATTTATGATTTTCAGAGAGTGGAGGAAAACAATGACGAGGACGAGAGCACTGACGAGGAAGAGAGGCAATGAAGATGAGCCAACCAATGTCCTTAGTACTTAGCTATGTGTGTTTGCGTTTGTGCTTGTATGTTTTCCAATTAGAATATGATAATGCACCGGTGTGAGCTACATGCAGCTAAACTTAAGCATTAATTACACAGATTTAATCGTGTTATGGATGCTTGTTTTATTAGACAAATGTAATGCTTTCACTGCTTTTTACTTTTTGTTAACAGGGTAATCCATTTGATATGATGTACTGTTACTAGATCTGTTCCTACTTGACATTCCTTAGGCAAATCTCACGGTCGTGAAATGTTTCGTGAGATGCAAAGAGCAGTTCTCACTATCCCAGGAAATTTCACGGCTTCTACTTGACATTCTCACGCTCGTCAAAATCTCACGTGAAATTGAAACACACAGCTTCCATTCAAACGTTCTCACAGATCATTCTGACAAAATAACGGTTGTGGAATTAAGATGTACCTACACTTTCTAGAGTTGTACCTTTACACTATGGTACAACTTAAAGTTATAGTATAACTTAAAGTTGTACCTACACTTTCCAAAAATCCCACTATGGTACAATTTTAAAAATTGTACCTATACACTATGGTACAACTTAAAGTTGTACCTACACTTTCTAACAAATCCCTATATGGTACAACTCAAAATTGTACCTATACTTATGGTACAACCTTAAGTTGTACCTACACTTTCTAAAAATCTTTCTATGGTTCAACCCAAACTTGTACCTATACTAGTGGGTTGAGTTGTACCTACACTTTCTAACAAATCCCTCTATGGTACAACTGAAAATTGTACCTATACTTATGGTACAACCTTAAGTTGTACCTACACTTTCCAAAAATCCTTCTATGGTACAACCCAAACTTGTACGTATACTAGTGGTACAACTTTAAGTTGTACCTACGCTTTCTAACAAATCCATCTATGGTACAACCTAAACTTGTACCTATACTAGTGGTACAACTTTAAGTTGTACCTACACTTTCTAAAAATTCTTCTATGGTACAACCCAAACTTGTACCTATACCATGGTACAACTTTAAGTTGTATCTAAACTTTCTAACAAATCCCTTATGGTACAACTAAAAATTGTACCTATACTAATGGTACAACCTTAAGTTGTACCTACACTTTCTCAAAATTCTTTTATGGTACAACCCAAACTTGTACCTATACCATGGTACAACTTTAAGTTGTACCTACACTTTCTAACAAATCCCTCTATGGTACAACTCAAAATTGTACCTATACTAATGGTACAACTTTAAGTTGTACCTACACTTTCTAATAAATCTCTTTATGGTACAACTCAAAATTGTACCTATACTAATGGTACAACTTTTAGTTGTACCTACACTTTTTCAAAATCCTTCTATGATACAACCCAAACTTGTACCTATACCATGGTACAACCTTAAGTTGTACCTACACTTTCTAACAAATCCCTTTATGGTACAACTAAAAATTGTACCTATACTAATGGTACAACCTTAAGTTGTACCTACACTTTCTCAAAATTCTTTTATGGTACAACCCAAACTTGTACCTATAACATGGTACAATTTTAAGTTGTACCTACACTTTCTAATAAATCCCTTTATGGTACAACTCAAAATTGTACCTATACTAATGGTACAACTTTAAGTTGTACCTACACTTTCTAATAAATCTCTTTATGGTACAACTCAAAATTGTACCTATACTAATGGTACAACCTTTAGTTGTACCTACACTTTTTCAAAATTCTTCAATGGTACAACCCAAACTTGTACCTATAACATGGTACAACTTTAAGTTGTACCTACACTTTCTAAAAATCCTTCTATGGTACAACCCAAACTTGTACCTATACCATGGTACAACTTAAAGTTGTACCTACACTTTCTAACAAATCCCTTTATGGTACAACTCAAAATTGTACCTATACTAATGGTACAACTTTAAGTTGTACCTACACTTTGTGAAACAAATTCTTCAATGGTACAGCTGAAACTTGTACCTATACGATATGGTACAACTCTAATTTGTACCTACACTTGTATACATTGATTCATTATTTACAAGATTGCCATTAATGATGTGGGACCAATCATTTAGTGGGTTTACCTCCTCAACAGGTCACCTTTTGTTTTTGTTTTTTATAGCATGGGTGCTATAGAGCACACTAAAAGGGCTCATGATCTTGGGTCGATGAGATCAGAGGCGCAGATTTTCCCGGGTTTATACTTGGCGGTTTGTGCTTTCGTAGTCCTCACTTTGGACTTGTTATATGGAGAGGGGCATTGGCCAATAGGCAGGCAGGATCCTTGCCCGCATTGTTCCTTTGTTTGAGAATTTAATCAAGGTTTTCAAACCATTCAAGTAGTTTTTTTTTTTTTTTGATAAGAGGGAGGCAGAAACTGCCGAGAGAAACACAAGCCCACGGGCTAACAAAAAGACAGTTGGTCACCTAACAAAACATCCTCAAACAGAGAATAGGAAGAGCAAGGAAGAACCATCGACGCGAGGAGATCACGGAGCATCTCTTTGAGGAACTTGCCGATTGAAACTGACTCCGAGCATATCTTCCCAGCAAATTCTATTCAGATCTAATGGGGGATCATCCAATTCGTACGTACCAAAGGGATAGACGAGACTGTGCTTCGAGAGCCAGTCCGCGACTCTATTCCCTTCCCGATGCGTATGCACCAAACGAACCACCCATTCTTTAGCAAGCAAGCGCCTAATAGCTCCTAAGATCGTCGAGTGCGGCTGAACGCTGTCAGTTCTTTTTTCAATCAAATGGAGAGCAAGCTGGGAGTCCGACTCAAGGATCAGAAAGCGCGAACCTCTCTTCCAGGCGAGTTCAAGGCCTTTCAGAATACCCCACAGCTCTGCCAGAATTGCTGATCCTGAGCCTAATTTACTGATAAAACCTCCGATCCAAACTCCATCATGGTCGCGAAGAGCCCCCATGCAGAAACAATGCCCTGATTACTCTGAGCAGCACCGTCAGTGTTAAGTTTGTGCCATCCCACAGGTGGCTTTGACCAGCCAACTAGAATTTCTTCCCTCCGATGAGGATTGCTGGTAGCGAGGGTCTTGCTGGCTGAATCCCATGTTTTTGGCCAGTCAGTAGCCTTGGCAGTGATATAATGGCAGAGGGTAGGAGTAGAGAGCTTGATACCCTTGAAAATGCTCTCGTTCCTGCACTTCCAAATGTACCAAATCATTAGGCTAAAGAAACTGTTCCAATTGCCCGTCCAGCTCCCCATGGATTCATCCTTCAGGTTCTCTTTGAACTAGGCGTCGTGAGGCATGTTATAGAACTCGGCCTGTCTCTGCTGCTCCAAAATTCTGTTCCAGACTTCTTTGACTCTGTGACAATCCCGGAGGCAATGAAGGGCAGTTTCCGGGACACCAGGGCAGTCCGGACAAGAATCATCATGGGTTAGGTGCCTATGCTTCCTTACACTGTTCGTGGTGATTTTTCCATGAGCTGCCATCCAAGTAAAAACTCTTACACGCTCTGGTACCTGAAGTTTCCAGATTCGCTTCCAGACTTGGCTTGGTTGCTGTTCCTGCTGCTGTTGAATAACCTTGTAGGCTGATTGAACAGAAAAATGTCCATTCGACGTGAGACTCCAAAAGCTGCGATCTTT